AATCTTCATATATAAATAGAGGACGAATTGTAGCACATTTTAGAACTGAAATTAATTTTTTTACTCAGATTTCTTACTTGGTATCAGAGCTAAAATGGCCAATGCCGATATAAGTAATCAATCTGCTCCTAGCTTCACTACCTCCAACCAAGTTGGCACAAATCAACTCTCACAGTTTGGGATTAATCTTACTCAAACTCCACCCATCAAACTGGACAGGAACAACTATTTACTCTGGAAAAACATGATTATGCCTATAATTAAAGGACATAATCTCGAGGGATATCTGCTTGGTACGAACGCCCGTCCCCCAGAGTTTCTAACAACACAAACCACAGTCAGTAGAGGAGAAACAGTTGAGATGGTACAACACACTNGGATATCTGCTTGGTACGAAAGCCTGTCCACCAGAGTTTCTAACAACACAAACCACAGTCAGTGGAGGAGAAGCAGTTGAGATGGTTCAAAACACTGAGTACAACAAGTGGAACTCAGCTGATCAAATGTTGCTAGGCTGGTTATACTCTTCTATGACCCCAGAAGTGGCAATGAGAGTGATGGGATGCACCAGCTCAAATGCGTTATGGACTGCAGTCGAAGGATGCTATGGCATTCTAAACAGATCCAGAGTAGTATTTCTCACTGGAGAGCTGCAGAGAATGAGAAAAGGCTCCATGACCATGGATCAATATCTCACTTCTATCAAACAGCTAGCTGATAATCTTCAAATGGCTAGAAAGACAATAGATCACAATGACCTTGTAACTCAAGTCCTATCAGGTTTGGATGAAGAGTACACACCTATTGTGGTGCAGATAAATGGGAGAGAAAGCATATCATGGTATGAACTATCATCAGTGTTAATGACCTTCGAAAGCAGGCTTGATTATCTAAATCAAGTCAGAAATAATTTTGCATCATTCAATGTAAGTCAATCAAGTGTGCAGCTCGCTCAAAGATCAGGACAAGGAAATAGCAGATTTGTTAGAGGAAATAACAATAGCAGATCAATGAATTTCTGAGGAAGAACAAGAGGAAGAGGAAGGATAGGCAGGCAACTCGAAAGCAAGGGACCTTGCCAAATCAGTGGACTGAGTAATCATACAGCAAGTTGGTGCTTCAACAGATACGACGACAGATACATGGGTAGCAGGCCAATCAACCAAAGTCATCAAAATAGTGGTTCGAATCCTACTGCATTTGTGGCTTCACCTAGAGTTCTTGATGACCAAACATGGTTTGCAGATTCAGGGGCAAGTAACCATGTGATAGCAGACCAAGGTAAGCTAACTGTGGCTAAGAAATATGATGGTAAGGAGAAACTATTGGTTGGTAATGGAAACTCATTATAGATTTCACATATTGGCGGGGGAAATATTCCTTCATTAAATGATAAACCTCTTGCACTCAATAAATTACTACTTGTACCTGCAATAAAGAAAAACTTAATGAGTGTTTCACAGCTTACAAATGATAACAATGTTTACATGGAATTTTACTCTGATTGCTGTGTTGTTAAGGACTTGGAAACCAAGAAGATACTGCTGGAGGGAGTGCTTAAGGATGGACTATATCAACTGAGATTACCAAGCCCCAAGTCTGAACTCACAAGTCA